TAGAAAACCTGGTTGTTTCAGTGTAGAAAAAATAAATAGTATTTGTGAATCTGATTTCAAAGCTTCAATCAAGAATTCAGAAAATTTTTTACGTTCTTCATCTGAACGAATTAGAAATCTACCTCTTCTAATACGTATTTCTTTAAATTTTGTTATATTTATTTTGAGATCATATTGACAATTAGAGTTCATAATGTCAATCTGATTTCTATAATAAGGACTAGAAGAATTTTTTGCAATTGTATAACTTCTATAAAATTTATTTTGTTGACTTTGTTGTTGTAGTTCTTCATAACCACCCTCATCAAGGTTTGGAAGAACTGTAAATGAAATGTGATCACTAATAATGTTTTTATAATCTGATTGATTTTCAAGCCATAATTCATATTCTTTTTGAATGATGAATTTTGCATTTGGAAACATTTCTTGCAATGAGTTTAAATTATAATAATATGTTGCTGGAAATGGTAAACATGCTCTGGCTCTTGATAAGCCAACATTTGGTATTACTAAGATACGGTCTAAAGCTTCAGCCAATTGAACAAATGTTCTTATGTGTAAATTGAATTTGCTCTCTTGTTCTACTATGAAATATGGAAATAAGAATTTACAGTTATTGTTACAATCCTGTAATATTGTTGATGATGATGTTTGTTTTATTTGTGAGGAGGAATCTTCAATATTATTAATATTATCATAATTATAGAATGATAAATAATACAACAAATTCCATGAGATGATTATTATTGCAAGTAATATTAATATTTTTTTATATATTTCCCATCCATGTATATAATTATTATTTTTTGTATCTATTTGATTATATGTTTTATCCATAATTATTGATTAAAAACTAAAGAAAATCGGGGAATGAACCATCCTTTTATACAAACATCAACAATAATATAATCGAATTGAAAAACCGAGTATATAGACATTCAGTACTGTAGTCTTTTGCATTCCTGTACTGTATGGTCTACAAAAATAGAAATTTTTTAAAAAAGTCATGTATACAAATGGATTCTGCACTGATTTGTGAAAAACAGTGTATTTTTTAATTAATTAAAAATCGTTGTAAACAAATGAACAAATTACGTAGTTGGATCCAATCAGAAAGAAAGCCTTTTAAATTAAACAATATTTTAAGTTAGACGCCGTAAACAATATTTTAAGTTAGATGCCGTAAACAATATTTTAATTTAAACGTTGCAGTGAATGAGCGGCGGCACATGCACGAATTTATTTGTATTTTTTAATATTAAACTAGTTATTATTATTATTATATAAGCAAACGAACATAGATCATTCTGTTTCTCAGAGTTACGAGGTAATGATTCTCTAGATAGACAAGAATTTAAATATTAATATAACAAATAAACAAAGCAATAACAATAAAAATTGTTCCACATGATAAATTAAATATTTTTTTTTACTGCCTTATCAAATTTTGCAACCCTTCAGTATTAACCTTTTCCAATCTTTTATATTCTTCTAACACTGCTTTAAAGACCTTTAATTGAGCATAATCAAAACCGAAAATATGCAAGTTTTTTAACGAAGGAGCTTGTCCTTCAATAAATATGTTCTCATCAATATTCAACAATGCGGTTGAGCTTGTTTTATATATGGCCCAAATGGCCTGCAGTTTTTATAATGAAAAGTCATGTCTGTGTTCAGTTTATTACAAAACCCTTGTAAATCTTGACCTAAGGAATACAAATAAGGAAATTGTTTATATATATGTATGTTACAAATATTTTCGTTTTTGAATGAATTTAAAAAATTGGGTGGAATTAAGAATGATTGGCGTGTATTTTAAAAAGGAAAAACAATAATATTGTTATTTAAAACAAATAATACGATAATCACATTTGTTAAAATGTATTTTTCTTGATAATACTTATGCAGAAAAAAATTGTAATGTATTTAATGCGTTTAGTATTAAATGTAAATAATTAGAATTTATTGTTATCTAATTTTGTGAGTGATTTGATTGGTTTTCTCGTTGTACTGACATGTCCTTTGTCCAATTATGTCTTTATACTCTTATAACGGGATACATAATGAATGTCATTGTAAGCAGTGTGTAAATTTCGTCGTGTAACTAATGCAGATTTCTACAAATTTAGAAATCATCTGCAGAAAATTACTAATATGTAACGTGATACCCGCCTCTCAATTTTACTCACTGATTGTAAGGGGAGTAAATTTATATTTATAAAGTGTGTTTTTGAAAAAATGTCACTATAACGAGATTGTCAATATAATGAGCTGTCCTTATAACGGGCGTGACCTGTAATAGCAGAAGTAGTGTCAATAACAACAATAGTAGTAGTATCAGTACTAATAATAATGATATTAGTAGCTGGTGATAACAGTAATGACAATAAAACAATTTTTGAGGATGATAAAAATCGTGGTGTTTTTGATAACGGATATTATTAATATTATTATATAAAACCAAGTAACATTCTCTACATTAACTTTATAAAAAATTAAATTATTTTTTTATTTTGAAATAGAAATGAATATATCATTATAGCGAATGTCCCACAGTAAAAAATCCAAGAAGATGTAATTATAGAAGTCAGACCAACAAATAAGATTGTTTATCAGGTGTTTTAAATGAAATTCCTTCTACAACAAACAGTATCTCAATAGACAAAAATATCTTCAAAAATAGGACTTGGTTTGAACACATAATTTCACTTTCACTAAAGTGAGTTTTTTAATATTGTATTCATTCATATCGTACTATCATTATATTATTAAATTTATAATAAATTTTTTATTAAAAATAAACAGAGTAGATAGAAATCAAAGGATAAAAAAATTATTCCTCATAGGGGATTGGTAAAAATCATTATAAAAAAAAGACAATCAAAAAATAAGAGTGAAAGATTCATTTTTGAAGTGAATAGTTTTTTTCAGATAATGGTTAATTTTATTTTTGAGGTTTAAAAAATGTATATAGTTTTTGTAATGAAAAAACATATTTTTTTATTATTATATATATTTTATTTGTATATTTTTTATTATATATATGTTTATTTCGTTTATATATATTTATATATATTTATTTATTTATAAAAATTAGAATCATATATTTTTTCCTGTATATTAAAAAAGGTGTGGTGATTATTGATCTATTACTCACTACTCTGGTTCTTTTATTATAAATAGAACCTCCTCCATCCATTTAAAAAAAATTTGGCAGCGCTTAACGTTAACATTAACGTAAATGATGACATTGACGTTAACGTTAACTTTAACTTTGACTACTCTATATACACAACGCAATCATTTTCGTAAATTTCCCTTTTTTAAACAAATTCTATCATATTCTTTTGTTAATAATGTCGATCAGTAATAATATAAAAATTGTAAAGAGAACATGTTAATAAAATAAAATTTAAATATTATAAATATAAAACAATTGTTGCGCCTCTAACCGCTGAATGGAATTTTTTTAATCTTAAGAGAATCTAATAATCTTGTGATGAAGTTGTTCTCATCGGCTAGCTGGCAGTGACGTCTTGTGCAATAGCGTTAACCGTCCTACCAAACGCCAAACGAATTCATATAAATTCTAGCTAAATATTTTTGTAACATGAAGTGGACTTTATAATACTTACAGTAAAACCATCTCTAGCTTTCTTTTTATTAGTTATCACTTTTCCATATAAATTATTGGAAGTGCTTAAAGACTGGTCCAGTTTTTATCATGGTCAACAAGTTTTGCTTAATGCCTTCCATAATTATCTGTTATTTACTTATCAGTGTATCCAACAAGTCGTTATTGACTATAGCAAATGAGGGAACACAAGCTTAAAACTACCATATATTGAAACGCTTAATCCATGCATAACTTACTTTGCATGTTGATATCATTTTTTTTTCCTTGAATGAGCTTTGGATTGGTGTAATTAGCGATTGCTGAAATAAAAAAATGAATTAAGAATAAGACCAAATTAAAATTTACTGGAGAATTAGGAATTACTATTCGTTTTTCTATATTCTTATCATCTATAGCAACAATCGCGTGATTTTTTTCCCTTGAAATTGGACTACGAACGAGATCAATTTCTTTCTTCGGATCTACCTTGGAGGTGACTTTCTTTAATCCAATCATTCTTTGTTGGAAACAAAGACAAACTTATAAGACACAATAAACTCATATCTCAAAAGGCATCAGCTCTTGTTAAGCGAGTTGGCCGAAATAAATAATTCAAGTTTGTTACTTTATTAGTGGGATCTTTCTGTTCATATTTGATACTAGAGAAAGTCGAAAATTAAAACTCATTTCTTTGGCAAATTCCTTGGCGTGGAATAATTGACACATGATACCATATGGCTTAAATTATTATTGTTGTTACTTACTTTTATTTAAATAGACCATTATTTAATTACACACCCTTACAAAAAGTATCGATTCACTCGATGATCCGCAAAAATAAATACTCGTTTTTTTACTAAGCAAATCGATGTTGTGTATTAGTGTTTCCAATTATCACAATGGACCAATTGTTATTGATAATTTTATGATGTTTAAAAGTCAAATTAAAATTTTTCGAAAGTTTTTCGAAAAAGTAGTATTTTAAGATACAATATTTTAACGGGAACTTGGAAAATGTTGTTCCATTTTGTTCTCAAATGTATATATATAAATGTTCATAATTATTGATTAAATATTCATGGAGAATTAATAAAGATAATGAAAAAAAATTTCACACACAATTTGTATAATAATAAATCACTATTAAATTATATCAAAAGTACAAATATTTCATTATTTATTCAATATTTTGTCAGGTTTCTTTTTGGTTCAATTATAGCTTGAACCCTCAAGGAATACTTTCTACTAATTTTTGCAAATAATCACAATCAAGATTAACCCACTCATCCACTAAATAAGAAATCAACTCATTTGTATTTTTTGGAGGAACAATAGTAGTTCGATCTTAAACACTTTTATTATACAAGTTACTTGTGATCGTGTGCATCGGAAAAGTGTTTAAATAAATAATCAACATATTTTTAATTAATTACCATAATGTAAGCTCATGGGAAGACAATTCTCTCATTTAAAAAATTTCTTTATTTGTATCATCTTCAAAATTTACATAAGAATGTTTATCTTCTAACAAACCAGGAGTAGCTAATTTACATATTTTAACCCCTTGCATGATCATTGTTCGACTTTACATTTCACACCTAAAAAATGACAAGATTTCACTAATTTTTCCAGGATTCCCAATTGCACATCGGATGTTATGCAATTTAAATGTTTCTTTGGGTTCCGAAGGATTCCATCCTGATAAATTGCATACACTAGCTGTACTAATCTTAGAAGTATAAGGATATTCTTGGAATTCAAAGTAATATTTCAAAGTTTCAATTTGTATTGAGTGACTAAAAATAGTATGAGTATATGACTATAATGAGATGTAAAAAAAAAGAAATAGATTAATTGACAGTTTATTATAGTTTTTAGATATTAAAAAAAATTTATTACACTATGATCTTCCACATCAATAACATTGTTTGTGTTGATGTTAAAATTATCAGTATTATTGTTTTCAATTGAAGGACTAGAAATTGTACAAACATCATTCAACTATATATATAAAAACAAAGAAATAAAAATTAATTGATTGATTATCAAAGCCTTAGATGTTAAAAAAATGATTACATTATTATTTTCCACATCAATAACATCATCAATATAATCATTTACATCATTATCATCGGGATAATCAAGATCAACAATTGATTAAAGTTTTCCGTTTCTTCATTTTCTATTGTTGCTTCAGAAATGTCAGAATTCCCATGAAGTTGAAGTAGTTCTCTCTTTAGCCATGCTTATAATATTTTTTTAATATTAATAAAATATGCAAAAATAAGGGGTGGATATATTACTTACTTGATAAAAAAAAAGATCGAAAATCCAACATACTCTTGAGTTCAAAGGTCTGGGAAATTTTGAGTTGGACCAGACTATAGTACAATTATATACAGATCTTTAGTAAATGTACTCGATGAAGATATGAGAATGACTGTAAAGTATTCAAGGTAGCATGCGTGCTTCAACGTCTGCCAACTTCCGATAATCAAGCATCACATATCAAAATGTTTCTTTTTCAACAGTATGCCATCTTGACATCTTCTTGTATTATAATAATAATATTATTATTAATAACGATTACAAAAAGCAAAATACCAATCATTTACCATCTTGATAAGGATCTTATGATTACCCAGCAAGTTCTGTTCCGCGTTTTGATTCCAATTAAAATATTTATAAACTAAAAGACATACATATCAATGCAAATAAAAAAAAGTATCTCTGTTATTAATATGTCTTCTTTAGGAGACTCGCATTTTGTCATTGAAAAATAAATTGTTTTTCCCCAAAAAAAAAATCAATTCGCGTCAACCATAAATGCTGTACACGTTTGTCAATCAAATTACAACTCTTTTTTTTTTTTAAGAAAAAATGTCTGGAAGATTAAAAAGAAGAAAAGGGAAAAATAAAGAACAAAATGTGTAAGTGTTTATTAAAAGAATGATTTATTCCTCGAACGCGTCACGATTTTGTAGTTTTTTCGAGGTTATTTGTCGCATTTCTACTTCTAAAATTGTTGCTATAAAAGGTTGTGCTGAATAAATATAAGGAATTAATAAAGAGTATTGTCATCATATATAATTTTATTTAATATTTAATACTAAACTTACATCATAATAAATGAAATATTGATAGCCCTATTATCATACTACAAAACTTGATCACAGTATCAGAAAACAGCATTTCAGACGGTACAGATGAAAAAGAATTGTTGTAATTGTGGTTTTTAATGCGATTACACAAAAATTTTCGATCAAATGATTATGTTGTACGTAAAAATGAAATTATGTGAATTCAAATTTATGTGAAATAATTTCAATTTCACATACAACAATTACATAAGACTTTAAATCAATTAATGCAGATGGTTGATGGTACCAAAAGTTAAATCTGAGAATGTAAGGTGGTAATTTATACATCTTCGTCATTTCTCTATTTATATTGGATGGAATAACGGGTAATGTAGGAAGTCAAATATAAATTTAATAGGATCACTGTAAAGAAATCATTTTTAATAAAATAAAATTATATAAGCCAAATGAATTTCAGGAATTTTATAGTTGACTATTAGTATTTCTTGCCATCTAGGGCGTAAAGTAAAATAATTAATTGGTGGTCCACTGACAAGTAGTAAAGTTGCATAATTCGTATTACAGACAACAATCAAAAAATATTTTGTTGTTGTTTGACAACAACAACAAAGAGCAATGCATAAATTAAAAAATTTGATTTTTGCAAAGTTTGAAACTCTTTTCTACTGTTTGTTTAGAATATTTAGAATATACTTAATGATAAAAAAATAATAATAGTAATTATGGGTTTGAGTTTCAAAGATAGCAAATTTTATTTAATATTTATTGTAATATTTATTATTACTAATGTGTTTTCTGACTCTAGTACAACACGTAATGTAGCTGTTAGTGTAGTAGCAGACAATAAACTTTATATTCTTGGAGGTCAAAGTATAGGATTAGAAATGACAAATTCATTGTTTTATGTGGATTTAACTAGTGATTTCAATGCTATAAATGTGCCATGGGTAGATGGCAATGAAATACCTGTATATAATTCTTGGTCTATAGGCGCAGTTGGTGGATCCAACAAATTGACAATTTTTTTATTTGGTGGAGTTATGAGAAATTCAATTACTAAAAATTATGATTTCACCAATTTGCTTTATGCATATGATGTAAATACAAGAATTTGGAATGCTCCAAAAACAACTGGTATTGTTCCTGTCAATCGCAGATACAGTAGTGCTGTTGTGGATGGTAATGGAAAAATGTATATTTTTGGTGGACTTGCAGATGTAGGTACTGGATCTTCTACTGTTCAATATCTCAATGATATGTACACTTTGAATACAATAGACCTGACCTGGAACCAAGTTCTCTCTAATAATCCACCACCATCAACTACTGGTCATACTTCAACTTTATTACCTGATGGTAGAATTGTAATTATTGGAGGTGGAAATAGTGTTATGACTGACATGTATAAAGTATACATTATTTTTATATTTACATATAAATATTCAGTTTCTTTTTTAAAAGCGAAATAATATATGCATATATTTATTGTTGAACTATTTCTTTATTTTATAGATATCAATTTTTGATACAAATAGTTCAACTTGGTCAACTATGGTAAATATTTATTCAATTAAAATATAACATTTGCAAAAAAATTTTATTTTTCTTATATATGGATGAAAATTTAGATACCAAATGGTCCACCAGCCATCCAGCCTCGAAAAGGTCATTCAGCTGTACTTTGTAATTAATTTTTTTAATTTAAAAAAATTTTTTTTTTTTTAAAAAAAAAAATTTATATACTAAAATTATATATATATATTGTATAGCAAAGGATGGAAAGATAATTATTTATGGTGGTTATATATATTCTCCAACACAAGCAACCACACCATTTCCTGAGATTCTGGTACTGGATACAACTACAAATCCTTTTCAATGGTCTGTACCCAATTTTTCATCTGTTAATCGTGCTCCACCTCTAATGTTGCATACAGCTAATTTAATAGGAAATCAAATGATAATTTGTTTTGGTAAAAAATTTTTTTTTTGGAAAAAATTTATATTATTTCAAGCCTAAAATTAATTAATCAAAAATAAAAATTATAAATATGTAGGAAATGTTACAAATAATTTCACAGATCCACAATCATCTAGTGCAAATACCTATATACTTGATATTAAAGATTTTACTTGGAAAACAAGTTATTCAGCATCTGAGGCAAACTCACCATCATCAACATCAACAACATCAACACCATCAACATCCTCAACAACATCAGAAGCATCAACAACATCAGAAGCATCAACAACATCATTAGCAAGCACTGTTCAAATATTAGTGATAGTAATTTCAATTTTAAGTGGAATAATAGTGATTGCAATAGTAACATTCATAGTTATAAAATTATATCGAAAGAAAAAGAATCCAGTTCCAAGTGATGATGTTATAAACATTCCTAGTGATCAACAACTTCAACAATACAGAAACTCTCAACTTCTTACTAATCCACTAAGATAATTTTTTAAGTAATAATTTTATATATTTATTTATTCCTAATTAATTTAATAATTTGTCATATGATTATGGTTATTAATCTGGCCAATCAATGATAAAATAAAACAACTTTTAACGAAGTGTTTTATCTACCAAATAAAAGTTTAGCTCAGGTCTTCTTGATCCATTTACAGATTTAAGAATAATGCATCAAAAGGAATCAATATAATTAAGAAATGATGTAACACTTTTATACAAAATTTAATTCAGAAAAACTTAATTATTCTAATTATTCTCATTTTGAATGAATACAGAAAATAACTGTTTTTGATGCATTGGCTAAATCTAACTTGTTTTCCTTCTCAAGCTTTTCATGACAATCTTTTAATAATTATCACTCTTTCAAACTCCTCTTCATATTTGTCCTCAAGGAGGTTCAAATCTGAGAAATGTGGGTTATTTTCCTCATAATTGATGAGATTATTTAATGCTTCATTCCTTATGTCTTTTGTGTAGTTATTTCAAATCTATTGAGATTTAGTGCTCTAAAGAAATTATCCAATTGCTCTATCTTTTTTTTTTATTCATAGCCATTCTATCATGGCTTCCCTATCATTTATATAAGCATCTCTTTACCATGTGGAATTAACCCGCATGAGTTTAGCTTACTGTGAGATCATGTCTGAGTCTCAAAGATGATTATTAATTTATTTTATACCAATAATGTATATTTATGCTTTACTCTCAAAACTATCTTTCACTATCGATTCCTTGCTAAACAATACTAAACAATATCTTCTTTAGATTTCACACTATATCCTGATCACGTTTCTTGGTGCCCTTCTTAGCTGTTACTCCATACTCAAGTCAGGTATGTTTCCCAAAACTACTAAATAAAATTCATTAAATATCACCTCACTAAAAAATAATAAAAAATAATAAAAAAATAGATAGAAATGTAAAATAAGAGAAAGTCATTGTACGATGACTAATGTAGATCAAAACTAATTAATATCACATATAAAATTTACTAATAAACTTTTTTTTCAACAAATCATTCAAAAAAAAAGATACAACTATAAAATTGTAATTAATGTAATGGTCAACATGGTGACAGAGAGTTTTTTTAAATTCTATTAGTAAAATCATCCAAAATGTTAAAAATACTGTTAAACTTTGGAACGTATAGGCTCAATAACCAAACAAGTTGGAGTAAAAAAAATTTCCACAGTTTTTTTCTCTGTGATTCAAAGATAGCCGACAGAGAGTTTTCTTAAAAAAACTATTAGTAAAATAAGCATTTATAAGAATCCAAAGTTATGCGATTTTATTATAAAATAATAACAAATAAATAAATAAATAAATGAAAAACATAATTTAAAAATATTGGTTAGTTTCTTCTAGTTATTAAAAACTCTGCTAATTTTTTAGCTGCTTCTTCCCAACAGCGAGATCTGTGGATAAAGAAGTTTCCTTTTGTCTTTTCATTCGAATTGTTGTTAATTTTTCTTTGGTCTTTTTCTTTTATTGGGCTTTCGGCATTTTATTTTTACGATTCTTATTATTCTTATCATTATTATTATGAAAAATACTTTACGTTTTCTTTAAAAGGAAATGGTTATCGGAAAAAAATCGAAAAATTTTTTATCAATAAAATCGTACATTTTTTAAACCTTTTTTTACTAATAATTTTTTAAAAAAAAATTTGTCGGGCTATTCTTTGAATCACAGAGAAAAAAACTGGAAATGTTTTTACTCTAACTTGTTTAGTTATCGAGCCTATACGTTTTAAAGTTTAACAGATTTTTAACATTTTGGATGATTTTACTAATAAAATTAAAAAAAAAAAACTCTGTCACCATGTTCAGCATCACATTAATTACAATTTTTCTTAATTTCATACTTGTATCTTTTTTTTGAAGAAGATGCAATTTTTATTTTATTAGTAAATTTTATATATGACGTTTTAGTTTTGATCTACATAGTCCATTATCTTATCCTAATAATAATGTTGGTGGTCCATGACACCTTGGCTAAGATAATTCTTTTATTTAAATGACAAATTCGTATTTTGTATATTTATAGGATTATAGTCACGTTGACTGATAAATCAGGTCATTTGACTAGATTTTGAAATGATAAACCTTTATTATTTAATCCAAGGGATGGAAGAACATAACTCTATTTACTACATACAGGGTGGACGCAACAGGCTCTTTTATCAAATTTGAAGAACGTTGTTAGCTTAGAAACCGTACCAACTTGGCTTGATATAATTTCCTTTAGTTGTAAAAACACTATCATAATAATTTCCTTCTGAAATGGGATTCGGCAGACCCTTTCCCACCATTTCCTGATATCTCGTCCCGGAAAATGAATTAGCCTTTTTAGGTCTAAATCACCTTCGCTTCCTACATTAGAATACAATAATGTTGATCACAAATTTTACATCAAAAATGGAAAAGAAGAAAATGCGAGCAATTTATAAATTAAATTTAAATTTTTCCTTACGGAAAGAATCATCTCTTAAAATTATTTGACATAATTAAAAAAAAATAACCATGAGCTTAAATTTCAAATATAAATTTTATTTGATATTTATCTTAACAATCATTGTTAATAACGTGTTTTCGGATATTAGTATAACACGTTATGCAGCTATTAGTGTAGTGGTAGATAATAAACTTCACATTGTTGGAGGTGTTAGTCGGGAATTAAGATCTTTATTGGATTCAATGATTTACGTGGATTTAACTAGTGATTTTGATGCTACAAATGTGTCATGGGTGAATGGCAACAATATACCTGTAAGAACTTCTTGGGGCGTAGGTGCAGTCGGCGGATCAAATAAATCGACAATTATTTTATTTGGTGGATTTATGAATCCAATGAAAACAACTGATTTCATTCATACATATGATGCAAATACAAAAGTTTGGGATATTCAAAAAACAACTGGTATGGCTCCTATTAATCGTAGACAGAGCAGTGTTGTTGTGGACAGTAATGGAAAAATGTATATTTTTGGTGGAGCAGCAGGTCAACGTACTGGGTCTTCTACTCCTCAATTTTTTAATGACATGTACACTTTGAACACGGTAGACTTAACTTGGAATCAAGTCGTCTATAGTAATGATCCACCATTTCCAATTTTTGGTCATACTTCAACTCTATTACCTGATGGTAGAATTGTATTTATTGGTGGAAATCAGGCAACTAATATTACAGCTAAAACTTTTCAATTAGCTGACATGTATAAAGTATGCATTATTTTTTGTATATTTTCTGTTTTAAAAAGTAAAATAATTTATTTAATTATTTATTTTATAGATAAACATTTTTAATACAAAGGATTCAACTTGGTCAATTATGGTAAATCTTAATCAATTAAAATATAATGTTTGCAAGGTTTTTTATAGGAAAATCTGAATATTATTTATTTTGTTCTTTTCCTATAATTTAGACAGCAAATGGTCCACTATCTTTTCAATCTCGATCTAGTCATTCAGCTGTACTTTGTAATTAATTTTGAATTTTGAATTTTAAATTTTTTAAAAAAAATCATGCTAAAATTATACATATATATATATATATATAGCAAACGACGGAAGAATAATTGTTTATGGCGGTAATAGACTTCCTGTCCAAATTACAGCATTTCCTGAACTTCTGGTACTGGATACAACCACAAATCCTTTTCAATGGTCTGCACCCAATTTTTCATCTACTAATCGTGCTCAACCACTAACATTGCACACAGCTAATTTAATCGGAGATCAAATGATAATAAATTTTGGTAGGATTTTAATTTTTAAAAAAACTTTTTTTATCCTTTCATAGTCTAAAATTAATTAGATTATATACATACATACACACACATATGTAAATATAGGAAACATCACAAATAATTTTACAGATCCAGTATTATCCACTTCAGACACTTATATTCTTAATATTAAAGATTATAGTTGGAAAACAAGTTATTCGGCGTCTGAGGCAAACTTAGCATCATCACAACCAGAAACACCACCATCATCACGGAACACTATTATAATAGTAATTTCAGTGTTGTGTGGAGTAATAGGTGTTGCAATAGCATTATTCATAATTGTAAGAATATATCGAAAGAAAAAAAATGCAAATGAAGGTGGTGTTGTAGGAATGCCTAGCGAACAACAACTTCAACAATATCGAAATGCTAATCCACTAAAAAAATAAATTTCTTCATCCAAAATCTGGTTTGGGGAAAAATCAATATAGTTTCCAAGCTAAAGGTGTTCTTGATTACATAAATTCATTAACTAAAAGCGACTTTTCTAAAACGCATCCACCCAAATTCGTTTGCTTTTTCTTTCTTTTTGCATATAACCGTAATTAGATATTTTTCGTTAGTATACAGTATTTAAAAATAATAGAATAATAAATCTTATTGAATATTATGAGTGTACTTACTGACTGTGTAACACTCGCTCACTAAAAAAAAAATCGGCCAACTTTTAAAACTTAATAAGGAAATATTGAATGCTTGTCTAAAAAATAGAGACGATGTTTAGTTAACTCTATAAGGTAATTTTAATCATTGTTCGTCTTGGAGGTTATTGACTTTTAAAAATCATGTGTTTTATATGTTATAAAATTTTTTAATCATTTATTAACACTTATAAAAGATTGCTCAAAACCCGTAACATTGCTTTTTTCCTTACTTGGGATAGATTGTATGATTTTGGTTTTGATCTAAATTAAATTTGTTGTTTGCCTATATTTGTAAATAAACAGTAGAACGGGAAATAAGACGTTGTAGAATAGTGATGATCATTATACATGAGCGAACGAACGAGTGAGCATTGAGAATCAATTTTTACTAAACACAATTTTTGGGAAGCATGAAATGAAAAGAATGAGACGTTTCATTGATTTAGTTAAAAAAATTTTTTTTTACCCTTTGAAATGATTGACGTTATACATATCGTTAATAATTATTTATTTTTTATTTATTTTATTAATTTATATATTATTTATTATTTTACTAAATCTAATTATTTTCCACTATTTGTTCATCTGATGCTAAAAAAAATTTTTTGATCTTTCCTTACCTTTTTGGTTTTATTTTTTTTTATTTTTTATCTACCACATTCATCGACGTGAACAGAAGGTGTTGTTTTATGTAACATTTGTCTTGGTCATGCATCTTAATTTCGTTGTGTTTGTGATCATTTCATTGACATTTGTTATATTAAGGTTATTTTGATTATATTGAGAGATATGGTCAAAAGAAGAGTTAGGAAGAGAGTTATTCTTCAACCAAGTCGAAAACCAACCCTTTAAATACATTTTCGAGTAGTACAATTATTTAATTTATTAGACCGTTTCAATGGTTTGTCGCATGGTTGCTTCCGACTTCTTAGATTCATTAACAAAATGATTGTTGGTGAAGTGATTGTTGACAAAATGAATCAAACCCATATCTATTTCTACGTTATCAATGGGGATTTTTTTTAGTTTCATGGGAAATTGATAAAGCCAAAGTCAGTGGGCTAAAATTTTGTGTTTCCAGAACGGTCTCTCCTACTCACATCCTTGATTACAAAACTTGTTTCTTTTTTTGTAGTATTTTTGCAAATCATTCTTAATTTGCAAAGAGGTAATTGAAATAAATAACTTGCCGACAGATTAATCCATAAGATATCTCTATTAATTTTGACTAAAACACCTTTCCTTTCAAATGCTTTCCTTTGTAATGCAGAACTGTCCCATTTCGTTTTTACATTTAGATGATACTAAAACAGAGGATCTCTAAATAAATAACCACGCATATAAAATATAACAATCTACCTAAATTTTTTGGTTTTATGGTTTCAGATTCGTATTCCTTTAAATAAGGACAACACGCACCCAACCCACCAATAAAAATTGGATATTCTGAGGTTTCACGAAATTTGCTGATATTTTTTGCGGATAACTACGATTATAATGGGAGTACCAACTCTACTTTCTACATGTATATGTTTCACTATGATATTAATATAGCTCACATTGTTTATATGTGTTTTTAAACTTTACTCCTAATTTGTACATTTCCTGATCAAAAATTTTTCATCCTCAATTATTAAAATTATAGATCTCAAGAAATATTAGATTTTCAACAAATGATTTCTCAGAATACAGTAAAGAAGCAAACACTTGATGCTTATGCAAAAGTATTTTGATAAGATCAAGAGTTATTGAAGTCATAGCAGTTTGGTTAAGTGAATTTAATTGCCAATGTTAACAATCAAAAGTGGTTATATTAATTAATCAAAATAACACTCATTATCACAAGTGCCTAATAGACAGAATTTTCAGAATTTTATGTTAATCAAAACCATTGTTGAAATAACATTTATGAAAAGTCATTACAATGTCATAAAAAATTAATTCTCTCAGTCAGAGTGTAAATGTGTATCATTCATTCACTCACAGCACTAGAAGAGTTTAAATTTCTCTGGAATAAAAATACTCACCAAAAAAAGTTAGAAATCATGTAATTGGACATTTGACAGACTGCCAATATATAGTTAGTTACTCACTCAAAGATATCTTCATGAAATGGAAACTAATAATACTCCTTTTTTTCAATGTCATAAAAGCAGGCAACCAAAAATGCAAACTTTTAATAAAATAAAATTATTATTTTTTTGTTTTTACATGGGGAATGAATGAAAATTCAAAATCCACATGTGCTAAGGTGTGACTTTTTTCTTTACTTCAATAGGGGTGAAAAATTTATCTAATAGAGGTGTAACTTACAAAGGGTATCTTTGAATATCAACAACACATCTTCTATTATGTACTTTAGAAATCAATGAAGTTATTGTTGGTGAAGCTTTGCTTGCTTATACAAAGTGGTAAAACTTATATATATAATTGTATATATATGTGTGTGTGTAATTATACTGGATCTGAAAAGGCATTAAATTTCTTGTTGTAATACAAATTAGTTCTTATTATAATTATTCATTATTTGTTCATTTCATCCAAACTATTCGTTATTCATTTTATTAGAATTATTCATTATTCTTACTACTGCTATTAATAATTATTGTTGTTATTATTATTATTTGTAAAATAGTGATATAAAAGAAATTCTTCATTATTAACAACAATAATAAGTTAATCTTTATATGTATAGTACAATGTTCATGTATTTCTAGAGGATAAAGAGAGTAATAGTAAATTTGCTTATATAAAAAATTATTTGTCCTATTAATTATTAATATTAAAATTAATTATTATTTTTCCACCTTGTAATATCATTTAATATGTTTCTATTTCATTCAATCAACAATTGTTTTCTTGAACCTGCAATTTGTCTTGTATAACTAGAGTGTGCTCTACAGCAACCTCTTGGTCCCACTCAAGAAATAATTTGAATTTATACAAACTATTTTATCTAATATTCCTTGTATACCTGGACCTTGTAATTCACTGGCTAAAAGATTACCTTTGTTCTCTTCTTCTTTTCCAATATATTTTAAATATTCAAAAGCATTTAAAGATTTCCAAGTTTTGATGTCTTTTATTGAAGAAGTTAGTATCTTCATTGCTTTAATGTGATGAATTGTAATAACATGAAAAGTGCCAGATTGTGGTTTTATGTCAAGAACATTGTAACCTATACTAATACTGCCATTCCTGTTGTAAGCTAAAAAATGCAAAGAAAATTCACAATCAACTAGAACATGGAGAGCTAGAGATCATTATAATAGGTGAACATTATGAGTTTGCTAAGTGTAAAGTTTGTTCCAACAACCAAAGAGAGAAAACATTTAAACATAATAACTCTCTACATGTAATCTTCCACATAATAATTTTCAAGTTAAATTTTTATTATGAATTTAAATAAAAAAAAATTTATTCAAATTATTCATTATATTCGAATTATTAATTATAATCAAATTAAAAAATTTATTAGTTATAAAAAATTTATTATTCAATTGCTAGTTTGTTTATTTTATAAAATATAGGTCTTATTTCTTTAACAAGATAATATAATTATATTTATAATCTATATTACTACTATAATTGCTAGCTAGTACTATGACTTAAAGGAAAATGTCAGCTACTATTATTTATTATTATCATTATATTCAAGGACTAAGAAAAATAGATTGATAAAGAACAAAAAAATTAATTTGATTGGATATTTTTTACAACTTCATTATCAACATTCCTTCTATGTAAATTATGCTGTTTTTAATATAAGGTTTGACTCTTCTTTTTTTTTTGGTATATTGCTTAAATTGCAATTATCATTATTTATGTTAATACAGTCAAACCTTGTCACAGTGGATGAATGGGACATATTAATATTGTAAAATAGTAAATATGAATCACGGGAAACGAACATATAAATCGGAAATGATTTACGTGTGTTACGAAGTAAAAATTCGGAAATGATTATCACGGAATAACTCAACAAGAAATAAACCAGTACAATTTAATAAATGTTACACTAATTA